CGTTCAAAAGTTGCCCACTGATCATGTTTAGTTAGTGTGTGTATAAGTTTGTGTGTGTACATGTGCATGATGGTGGTGGGTGTGCGGTGGGTGTTACTGAAGGGTGTATGTAGGCGGGCTTGCCATGCGGTGTTCCTTCCAAGACCAGAGGGACAGAATGAAAGTTGGCGCCGAACTCTCGCAATAAATATAGGCAAAAAATCATGAGACCGGAAACCGTTCGGAGAAATAAAGATCGGCACTATTTCTCCGAACGTTCGGAGAAATAGTCACTTCGAAAATAATAACGGAATGTCTGCGTACACGGTAACGGGGCATATTTCATGTAGATCTAGATCTAGAATTTAGATTCTAGTCTCAGTATCTATGTACATGGTGACCGGGTGCTTAGTTTCGGGGCCCTTTTAGCTAGGTGCACGGTAAATGCTTCGTTTGCTTCATGACCTTGACTTCTTTCATTTTTTCCCCGCTTTCCAGGAATACGGTCTGACAGGGTTAATGTGCACTAGCCATAACAACAGTGGTGGGTTTCAGGCAACAATAATGAAGAAAAAAACCCACACAAAATGCAAAACAATACATTTAGAGCGGACCATTGCACAGCGAGGCTCAAAAGTTGTTCCGGCTTCGTTCAGTGTTGGGTCCACCAAAGTTCAATCTTACCATGATCGAGATTTTATTTATTCATTATGAATTAATAATTGATGCCCCCCAAATTTATAAATTTGATGCCTTGGGAAAAGTTTACTTTCACTCCTGCACACAGATGCACTGGGGCTACCTCTTAAATTGGGACTAGAGGTCAAACTGTGCACAGTATTTTTTGCTGCAGATCCCTCACTATGAGGGCCTATACTATTACTATATGATTATATTACATCATCATGGCTACTAAAACTGTCGCAAATCAATTTTAAAGAAAATTATGTCAAACCTAAAGTTCGCAAAACATCACATTATCATTTATGGGTAAAATATGGGGGCTTGCGCTGAAATTTACTGCAGTTAGGCTTAGCATGACATATGTATTACGAGTAATACAAAATCTCATTATTTAAAAACAAATTTCGGTAAATTATTTTACTCATGGACCAGTCTCACATTCAGAATATGATATTTTCTAAAGCACCGTTTTGTTCATTTTTATCTGCTTTAACTTTGCACAGTTTGACTTTATTAATACTTTATACTTTATATCCACCGTAAATTATTAGTAAGTTTTTATGAGATTCATGTATGGATTTTTTTTTTTTTTTCAAATCAAATCCCATTTAATGCTCAAAATAAATGATAACTGGAGGTACTGACTTTGTTTTCTATGTCATTAGATCATTTAATGCTATTTCTAATCCTCTAAACAATGAAATGCTCTTTTTTATGCTTTTAAATTTGGGACACTATTAATCCGCTAACCAAAATACACATTCAATTTTCTTTAAACAGTGGAACGATGTCATCTCAGCTTTTCGCCAGTACTTGCCTACTGGGCGCCACAGGCGTTACATGAAAACCTTTGAGAATTGTTTCTCAGGCTCATCTGCTGCTGACTGGCTCCTTCAGTATTTGAAGACAAATGAGTGCTTTGGGTCTGATATATCCAGGTATTTGTTTATTCTTAGTCTAGCAATTTGTCTTTTTTAATCAATAGAAATTTTATTAAAAGTTTAAAAGAATTATTTTCTTGCAATATTGGTCCAGTGTCTCTCGTAAGACGAAGTGACTTAGCTTACATTATAATATATATATATATGAAATTCATACTTTTTGAAAAGCTAAACTTTATTGATCCACAGGGAAATTTTGGTTGGATACCAGAACACAATATGCATCATGTTCAGGAATTCAGCGTACTCAATACAGATTTAAATGTACTCATATAAAGTTTCATTCATGTTCAATGATGATAGATGGTGCCAAAATTTTCACAGAAAATAATACATTTGTTGGTTTAGTTGGGTTTTCTTTACGAAGTTCCTGCACATGTATGCTCTCATGCCAGTTTAACCCCTTCAATGCTGCAGGTAAATAGGCCCCTATGCTGGGGGAAATCCCATGCATGAACCAAGGCGGCTCAGGGGTGACCCCACTCTACCTCCCATAACTTTTTTATTTATATGAATATTTCCTCATGTATAATTTTTTGGGGGAATTGAGAGACAAAGATGGAGAAAAGTTGGAGTTAGTAACATGATGCTAAAAACACCACCACCAAACATAAACCACACACATTCGAGTTGTGCTAAGACAAAAAAAGGGGGAATACATGTTGTGTGAGTGTTTGCAGGTAAACAGGAAGTGACTAAACACTTTTCCTACCTTATATGCTCGTACAATCATACATGTAAGCCTATATTTGTTACCCCAGTAAATCATTTTTGTGTGGTGGATGTGTTAGATCAAGATTTAATTTTCTTTCGAGCTAAAATCCAAATCTGACGCTTTCAAATAGGGGTGAAATGGCGGTAAACATAAAGGGAAGGTACCTCAATAATAATTACAAGATTTTAGCTGTAACTTTCTTTATAATTGGTATCTAAACAACCTCTGTCATAGTTCCGTAAATCCTACGGGCCATAGCCACAGCGCTATGCTTCAGGCCCATAAATTCTATGGGCGCGGCAGCGAAGAGGTTAATTATCATCCACAATGGAGCTGGGATACTTACAGCATTCGTTGTACAATTTTAACTTGTTATATTACATTATATTGTGGGGGGGGGGGGATTACACTTTCTTAGTAGCCTGAAATCTATCATTTCTTCAGTTTTAGAGCCAACATCTATGATTTAGTACAAGGTGGCTGCAGCTAGTTAGGTGTTTAAATTTTCGTCCTTCTTGGATTTAAAGTTGTTGTCAGTAAAGTTTATAATAGTAATAGACATGGTACTTGACTAAGTAAACCCTGTTTTGTGTCTCATAGCTTTGTACTTTATATTTCTTTTAATAAATTTAACATTTGATTAATTTGAAAAGTTTACACATTATGATGATTTATCAATTTCCATGTATTTTATACTGTTAGGCTTTATTTCCTATAGTGCTGTCCAACCTTGTTGTTGATCTAAGCATGGTCTTCTGTTCTCTGTGTCCCAAATTTTATTCTGTTCAGGCAAAAGTCTTTGCTTCTGTTAAACAAGTTGTACAAAGCTGGAATTTTTGAAGAAGTGAAAGTGTCGAGAAACATGCGCCACAAGCAAGATGTTCAGGAAAACAGACTGTACAGGTTAGTGACACTGCGTGAATGAAAGCTTTTATCCTAAAGGTTTGGGGTCAAGATAAATGAATACCTTCGTTTCTCAGCTTTTTTTTTTTCCTTTATAAGATGATCAATTGAGAGACTGTGTTTTTCTACTTTGAAAAAGGAACAAAATCGTGTATTCAAATAGGCTTATATTTTTCCAAAGTTAGAAAGTGGGGGGGGGGGGGTGTTCTATTCCGGCGCTGCTCAGTGGCGACAAGGCTCTTACAGATCTCCGTAAATGTGATAAATTTTTGCGCTTACTCAATTTTTACACGGTCTTGTGATAACTTATTTCTTACTGCGGATCTTAAGTCTTTCAGTTGTGGCATATTTCTTGTGTTTTTGATTGTTTTTAGTGTGTCAGTGCAAATTCACCAGTGCAGTGTTTTGAGTGAAGCTCCACCATTGAGAGAGACCTACAGTTCAGCCATGTTAAACGCCTAAGACTGGCAGGCAGAAACAGTGCTTTCAATGTCGTTCTGCCCCGTGAATTGAGACCACGTGAACGGGGAAGGAAGGGAGGAGTACGTTTCAGAGGGAGGAGAAGAACTTTTAAACCGTTTTTACCTGCAATCTTAACTGGTAATGCAAGGTCATTAAATAATAAAATGGATGAACTCTGTGCATATGTTAGCTTTATGCATGATTATAGAGAGGCCTTGCTTATTTGTTTTAGCGGGACGTGGTTCAAGACAGTATTTCTACCGACAGTGTGGACATTGACGGATTCCATCTAGCAGATTGTGACAGGACGATAGACTCAAACAAAGAACGGGGCGGAGGAGTGTGTGTGCATGTGAATGAGGGGTGGTGCACCCACAATAATACTCATGTTAAACTTCCTATTGTGTACACCTGACATTGAATGTCTAACTGTTGTTACACGTCCGTACTATCTACCGAGGGAATTTCCTAAGATAACAACCAACACTGTTTATATTCCACCACAAGCCAATGTTAAAGTTGCCACGGACACTTTGGTCGAAATGATTCATGAACAGACTGCTTGTCCAGACAGTGTAATAATTATCACTCGGGATTTTAACAAATGCTCTCTGACTTCTGCCCTCCCCACTTTCCTTCAGTATATTAATGTACCAACCCGTAAGGACAAAACTATTGACCTATGCCATGTAAATGTTTATAATGCTTAAAAATTTATCTCTCTAGCTCTAAGAGGAAACTGATCATTGCATATCTTTTTTATTACCGAAGTACAAGGAAACTGATCATTGCATATCTTTTTTATTACCAAAGTACAAACCTAAATTTAAATCTCCATGGCCAATTAAAAAAGTTGTCGCCTTCTGGAGTGAAGAAAACAGGGAAAGCCTGAAAGGTTGCTTTGAATGTATGAATTGGAATGTTTTTAAAGATTCGTGTTGTAATAGTATAGATGAATAATGTGAGAATATCCCTGGTTACATCAGGTTTTGTGAAGATCTGCATTCATGAAAAAAAGAAGTTATCTCCTACCCAAATAATAAGCCAAGGGTTAGCAAGGAGTTAAAGGAAATATTAAATGAGAAGAAGAAGGCATTCAAACTAAAAGACCGAGACAAATTAAAAACAACAAATAATATGTTAAAGAAACAAAATAAGGGAGTGTAAGTATGTTTACAAAAAAGGTTAGAACAACATTTCACTTCTAACAACACAGAAATGACGCAATGTTTAGAAACCTATAGTTGGAGACGCACCAGGACGGACAAACATTCTCACCCATGACACGAACCCAAGTCAGTATATAAACAAACAATTCTTTTTACGCTCGTTTTGATAACCATGAATTCTCCACCCCTTGGCGCTTATGCAGCTGCGAGCGCTGTAAAACCTCTACTAAAACTAAAAGATACGGTTCAAAATGACCACAGAGACGACCGCAACATAGGCTAAGACTATGACAAGAGCAAGGAAATTTTTGTGGTTACTGTCAATGAGGTCAATATCATGTTTATTCATCTGAAAGCTCACAACAAAGCGAGAAGACCCGATGGAGTAAAAAGTAAAATTATTTTTAAAATGTGTTCCACTCTTGTATCTCCCATTTCTACTGATATTTCCAATATGTCTTTGAAAGAACGAATAATACCACTCTCGTGGAAATGCTCTAAAATAATTCCTGTCCCAAAGAAACAATCAATACAAAATTTGAATGACCTAAGACCTGTAGCTTTAACGTCAGTCCTTATGAAATGTTTAGAAAAACTGGTTCTGAGAGAACTGAGGAAATCAATAAAAGACATACAGAATAACATGCAATTTGCCTATCGGGCCAAGAGGGGCATAGAGGATGCCATTCTCGTGTTTTTGAATAACATCTTCAAACACATAGACACACCAAGAAATTACTGCTGGATACTTTTTGCTGATTCTTCATCCGCTTTCAGCAAAATTCAACCCCATATAATGGTTTCAAAATTAATTAACATGAACATAAACAAGAACAAGCTTGAATTCCTGAGTTCTTGACCAATCGACCTCAATATATGTAAAATTAAATGGTGTAATATCCAACCTAATATTCACAAACACCGGTGCACCCCAAGGTTGTGTAATCTCTCCTGTCTAGTTTACGCTCTACACCAACGACTGTACTTTTGATAACAAAAACATCAAACTAATAAAATTTGGGCATGATTCCTCTCTACAAGGCCTTATAACAACAAATGAGAATGAATACAGGGACGCTGCCAATGTATATTACAAATTGATGTGATAACCACTTCCTTTTACTAAATTAAAAAAGACAAAGGAATTAATAATAGACTTTTGAATTAAAAAAAAAAAGACCAATTGCATCCACTATTTATTAAAGAGGAGGATGGGATCTCTTACAAGTATCTTACAATCGATAACACACTTGACTGGCATCCCCACGCTGCTCTTGTGCATAAAAAAGGCAAATCAAAGAATGCTCCTTTTAAAGAAATTAAGAAGTTTGCATGTCGATAATAAGATTACGTCCCCTTTTTACCATTCTATGATTGACAGCGTGCTAACATTTTGTATTTGCTGTTGGGCTGGAAATTGTAGGGTGAGAGATAAAGAAAAATTTGACAGCATTAAGAAAGCCAGCAAGATCTCTTGATATGATTTTACTAGAATCGATGAAATGTATGACACCACAAGTATAAAAAAGATAAAGAACATTATACACGACCCATCACACCCCCTTTCCATGCAAATTGTCAGATCACGTAGTGGCAGATATGTACCTTTAAAAGCAAAGAAAGAAAGATATAAAAGAAGTTTTTTACCATCTAGCATAAAGGCTATTGTCAGTATAAGCATAGACGTGTATTGCTCTTCAGAGTATGTATATAATTCCAAAGGTCTTGTAATTAAATTCTTGCATGTGGTTGAATGATGCATCTGGTGTGATATGTACATTTTGTCAGCTTTACTTTTCTTTTCATATCGAATTATGATGAGAGTAATATATAATTAAAATTTTTATGTATACCTGACCTGCATGTGTTTTTACGGTTCTGTACCGCCAAGAAAAATTTCTCTCTGGGATAATAAAGTGTTATATTATCTTGTCTTATTGCTGCCTGCTAGAATATAACTTTTGGCTCAGCATATAATCTAAACTAAATATTTTAGGTTAGTCTGTGCTTCCCCTTTTTTTTCTTCAATGATTAAATGACATAAACTTTACTGTACATATCAGTGTTATCAAATCTGGTGCAGGGATATATGAATTTTCAATATATAGCTTCTGTTCTGAATGTTTATATGTTTCTTTTGTAAATTTTCAGATTTTTACCTATTTCGCCTTCTAAGATCAAAATACCCAGGCTTCCTCTGGCTCCACGGAATGACACAGGGATGAACCTCCGCGAAGTGAAGAGCTTGCCTGTGAAACCACTCAGTAATAAACCCCCTGCAGACAAGCAAATCGGCAATGAGGAAAATCCACCAAAGAAAACCCATAACAAACTTTCCAGGAAAATATCGTTTAAAAAAGATAAAGTTCCATTGAAAGAACCGGATATTGTTGAAGAAAAAGAGAGTGTTCCTCAATGTCATCTCATGAAAAGAATACTGACAACAAAGGAGATTAAAGATACCTGGAAAGCTGTTTACTTATATAGGTAAGCTCACATGTTGACATTCAGCATTCTTGATCACATGACAAGTATAAAATCTATATCATAGCTCAGGACTTTTTTGCAATATCGTGTGTATTTTGTGCTTTAACATCAAACTTTTAATTTCCTGAAAATTAAAAGGAACCAGCCTTATTTGACAATTATTTATTTATATATATATATGAGCAATTGCCAAAACGTGAGACTCTCTTGAGACTCAGTGGTGCAAAAAAAATGTTCTTACCAATTTGACTTTCTTTTCTGTCAGTCACAGATTGACCTTTAGTGCTCATATTCCTAGAGTATCAGAGCAAGGAGATGTACGGTTTTGGAGATATGGGGCTATTGGTTTGGCAACTACTGTATTTCTTGTATGTAACAGTGATGACAAAAACAGATAAGCAGCAAGGCAAATTATAGACTTTAAATTCCATTTGTTTAGTAAACAAACACTTTGTACACTATGAACTCCATTCATAATGGTAATATGAATGGCAAGCTTTGTAACAATGACGCAGTGCACAGAACATGTCATCATTGTTATGTACAAGAAAGGATACACATTGGACATTATCATTGACAACACATCACAATAGTGAAAGGCTGTACAAATACAGTTATCAAAGCCCCAGTACCAGAAAAACACATGTGTAAAACAATTTTTTAACTAATATGAGGCAAAAGCACAAAATCAATGGAGCTGACTTGTACATAACAGTGATGATCAAACATGACTTGTACATAACAATGATGACACAATGTACAGGAAAAGACAAAAGTCTTGCCTCCAGAGATAAAAGCGCACTTTAAGAATTTTAAAAAAACCAGGAGAGGTTTCTTTTGCTTTGAAACAGATACCAGGTTATATCAAAGACAGTGGACGATCACAATTATGTGGCTAATTATGACAAACAGTACTCGTACATAACAGTGATGACAAAACATACTGGGAAAAGGTAAAATCATGCCTACAAAAGAACAAATTTGCACTAAGAGATACACAGATCAATAAAGGCTTATTTTGCTTCTAAATGAATCTTGCATGTATGAAATATATGTTGAAAACTTATTGATATTAGCAATTATGAAAAATATTACTTGTACATAACAATGATGACACAATGACACAATGTATTGGAAAGAGGTATATCATACCAACAAAGAACAAATGTGTATTTTTGAGTTAGACAGATTAAACAAGGACATGTTTGTTTATTTGTTTCAGTAAAGAGAGCACACATTACTTAAAAAATGTTTGCTCTTAGGACAATGTAATTTCTTGTACGTTAGTCAGTCTTGTACGGCTGCATGACGACACCCCAAACGTCATCACTGAGCACAAAAGCTAAATCTATAACCACAGAAATGATCCATCTCTCGAAGTTTGTTCACACATCACACTCTTGTTCCAGGAATCCAGTGTAAACACCGCAATTTCACTAAAATATTCAACAGAGTAGCCTAAAAACACGCAAAACAGCCCAATACGTCACATTCAACGCAAAATTCTTGTGCGTCACTGGACGCTGAAGGCAATGACTACTTTCGTTTTTCTGTTTCCCCCGTTGCTTCCGTTGTTCTGGGGACGCGGGTAAGGGGAAGTCACTCAAGAAAACAATTATATCCGGGCACTTTTGATGACCCGTTCAAAACAAAAATGGGCGAAATTCTTCCGGCACGTCGCAAATTGACGACAATAACGGCGAGTGTTAAACAGCCGACCGAAATCGTAGATCTTGGAACCCGATGTTCCTTTCGCGCATCGCGGCTTTTTAAGTATTGAATAAACGGCGATAGGCAAAGAGATTTAACCAGCTACGGTGATTCTACTGAAAAATAATGGTGTTTTCTGGAACACCTAGTCCGTGACGGCACGACAGACGCACAAGTAATCCGAATTGTTCGTCTATTTGCAAACAAATAAACCGATTTCTTGAGCAAGTTAACCTTTCTCAATGACAAATAACATAGGATCAAAGCACACGTAAAAAAAACACACCCAAAAATACTAAATTTTGGACGTTCTTGGAAGTTTGCATTGGTGTGCTCAAAATGACACTCCAGGAATCACTAAAAAACGAACATTTTTGGCACAAAATTTACAAACTCAAGATTGTAAAGCTGACAAGGGGTCTGAAACTGCTAATGCAGGTTTTTCATCCTATATTTGACGTGTGTATACGTTTTGGAGGAATAAATACTAATGCATCACATTTTATGCACACTAATGTGAGATGTGTGTGTTTTTCCCCACGTTTTGGCAATGGCTCATATAGATAAATATATATATCTCATTTTCTTATTGAGATTTGAATGACATGTTTTTTAAGTTTTAATTTTTTAAATGTATTTCCTAAGATCTTTCCTCTTCCTTAGGTGTGATTCACATCCTTTAGAAACGGTGGAAAGAAAAAAATTATGAAAACATGTACGGTAAGCTTGTATTACAGTGAATGACTGTTATGTCTATGTTGTTCTTTTTACTTACTCAAACAGACTTTTCTGATGAAGCATCAAGAATGTATATTTCTTTTCTTCTTTCTTTTCAACAAGACTTCGCAAGAGCCTGAGCGTTACAGAATTGGGTGACATTCTCCAGACAGACTTGGTGGATGGTTACTACGTAATGCACAACTGTATCTACCTGAACAAGAGCGGAGTTGTCACTAACATACAGCCAGATGACCAACTACCCCACTGGGTCATGTCAGCAATGAAATGTCTTGCCAGATGTGAGCAAATCTTAGATGGAAAATTTGTTCTTTTAGTTTTGTGTGGGATGCAGGTGTCTTTGTGATTGATAGTATTTTGGTATTGTTTTATGGTGTTCAAATTCAGAACTTTTCTGGTGCTTGAGAGGGGTATCAATATTTTTAGCGAACAGTGTCATTAACAGTGCTTCCAATCTTCCGTATTTTTACAGGTATCCGTACTTTCTGATAGTTTCGTACTTGCTCCACAATCATGATCAACTTCATCCGTTGAAAAAAGTGCAATAACGTAGGGCAACCGAAATTCTGTGGCAAAGGTGCATACTTGCCTTTGTGTCTTGTGTAAGTCACAGATATTGACGGTAACTCTCTCAGCAACTCTCTCTCTTTGCACATTTCTTGCAATCCGCCATTATCCTGCTATGCATTTATTGCGGGTTGGTCTGCAACACATTATTTACCTGCAAATTGATCAAATATAGCTAGCCATGATAGCGAACTTTTTCAAAGAAATCCAGATTTTTAAATGATTCTTTCTGTGTGTTTTTTTTTTTTTTAATGTATAAATCAGTACAAATACTTGTTGTGTACACATGAAAATGCAAGTTGCCTTTGTATTTTTTTCTCCTCAAGTTCCTCTTCTTTTCGCTCTTCATTTCCTGCTTGGTCTTTGGGGCAATCAACTATAGGTGCTTCAATCCATTGTAAAGTTTTTCCTCCTTTGTCATAGTGTTGCTGTTGTTTCGGGAAGCAAATGTTTTCCATTTTTGAATGGTGTTGGTGGATGGTTGGCTGGTGCTCTGGTGTGGTTTGCTCCTTCTTTCCTATAAAAAAGTCTATCGTCTCTCTCTCCCCTCCTTCTTTTTTGTGTTTGTTACTCTCTTGTTAACTCTAATCTTCGGCACTCTTATATATGACCTTTTTGTGTTGCAAATGCAGTAAAACTCTAACTAAAACTCTTTAAAAAACGAATGGTGCTAGTGGGTGGTAGGCGGGTGTTCTGATGTGGTTTGCTCTTTCTTTCCTATGAAACATCTTTTGTAACATATCTATTCTTTGGCACCTTTATGGTCTTATTGTGTTTCGTCGTAAAACCCTTACTAAAACTAAACGAATGTTGTTAAGGGGTATATTTCTGTTTTTTCTTACGTACATTCTATTCAACAATGTTGTGCTTGGGCTTCCAATGTTATCTGGAATGCTCTCCTATGCCAAGGAGTTATTTCTCATGCAGAGAGGACCTCTAGGTAGACCAATTTTAACTAAGTGATAGTTTCTCCTCTGGGCTGCTTCATGGTAAAAATGAATGATAATTTATCCACATGATTAGTTTAACTCCTGGGTAATATGCATAACACTCCACAGGGCCAGAGCCTCCTGAGCCAGGTCTGCCCAACTATCCAGGATTTGAGAAAGATGTCTTCAATGTGGTCAGAGACTACTTCTTGGGTCTTGAAGAGCCATTGGTGCCTTTTGTGCTTTATGAAGTTATCACAAATGTGTTTGGTGAGTTTGTTCATTTGTAGGCATATCGTTGCTTTTGAAAAAAAAATATGAACTCCATTCGACCTTTCTTTTCAGGATGGGTTAAAATTATTGGAGTTACTAATTTTTCTTGCAGCTGCAAATATAGTCACTTGCCCACTTGCGGCCATGAAAGAAGCTCCTCTATTTTCACGACACTATCACATTGCGCGGGGCTTTTTTTTCGGTAGCTAGGACATGGGAATGTACTAATAGTTGAAAGTGGCGCGATGCCTTTGCTGTCGTTTTATGGCAGAAATGACTAACATACAGTGCTTCCACTCTTCCGTATTTTTACGGAAATCCGTACTTTCTGCTAGTTCCGTACTTGTTCCTCCATCATCATCAACTCCCTCCGTAAAAATCTGCGACAGCGTAGGACTACCGAAATTCCGTAGCAAAAGATCCGTACTCGCCTTCGTATGTCTTGTATAAGTTACGGATATTTACGGTTATTCTCTCTGCAATAGTTTGTGCTATAGAAACCTGCCAGATTGCGCATTTCCTGCAATCGGCCATTATTTTACTCTGCCCCATGCATTCATTGCAGGCTTGTCGGCAGTACATTTTTTACCTGCAGATTGATCAAAATCTGGCGAACTTTTTGTGCCACTTTCCTCCTTTCTATCATTCCCTCATTCCGTCTGTCTAGATCTATCTTCGGATTGTTGCAGCGGCTGGAAGAATCTGCGCGTTGATCAAGTATATTGACATGTGACCTTAGACAGAAAATTACTGTCAGAAAGAATTTTTTTTGCAAATTTATTGTCTAGATTCTAGATCTAGAGAAATTATCATTGCGAAGATTCGGACGAGCGACAGTCGTTCTAACCCTTACACAACTACATGTAAACTGCGCTGGCAAGATTAACACACGGCCGTTGTCGTTGCTTTAGTCTGAACGCATTATGAGGGATAAGAGATTTGTTGGTACATTTGGTCGGTCGGCCCCCGTCGTTATCCTAGAAGTAGAACGACTGTTTCTCATCCGAGTATTTTGTTTGAACGTGCGGTTAGTCGGACCTGTTAGTAAAATTGTTTCAATCGCGCATACGCATCACGTGACATGACATCGCCGTGTGAGTTCTGCATGTCTGGGACCGTCCGTTGACGGGGTCAACCTAAGTTCACGTATTTCGGAACTTATTGGTTTGGGGGGGGGGTAGAGACTTTTGGACTAGGAGTGCTTAACGTGATGCTTCAGGATTTACAAAAAAAATAATGATAACACGCGCGCAAAGACACACAGAGAGCATAGGCCCCTATAGGCCGAGTAATTTATGGACACCCATGGAAAATTTTTAAGTCAGCTTTGGCAGTCACCTTGGTGATTTGCTGTTGATCCCGATTTTTTTCACCAAATCCCGATTTTTCTCTACCTGAGATCCTAATTTTGAGGCTTCATAGAGTGGCAGGTCTGGTAACTGTATTGTGAAGGTACGGCCTACATATATCTATTCATTATTCCCAGGTTTGCCTACTATCAGTATCAAAGGTGCGATGACAAATTAATTGAATTATAGTAGCAATGGAAGGGGGAACCTGCTTTTAAACATTGCCAGCAATGGAAAGATATATTGGTGAAGAAATTAAACAAGACAAAATCTGGGTGAAAATATAGGTAGTATGGGTTGTTGGCAATCTCTTCAAACAGGCTCCCAAATGCCATTTTCAACCCTCTAAAAGTACTAAATTTCAATTTCTTCGGGGGTTTCGCCCCCCGACCCCCTAGCAGAATTTTCCTTACTTTTCAGCTTCAGCTGGTGGAAGCACTGTACATACTATTACTGAAAAGTTGGCTCTTTTATTGATTTAGGGCCACCAAGGGATCTTTAAATGTGCCCAAGTTGTATTCGTGACATCTGAGAGTTTCCTAGATAAGATCAGGAGTAGCAGTAGAAAGAGTCAAAGTCATGAAATAGTCGAATATGTCAAAAGGGAAAATACTTTTTGTAATTCATGTAGAATGTTTTGTAAGTTTAATGTTTTGATAAATTTGTTTTATCAGATATGATGCAATGTGATAATTTACTTAACTTCAATGTTAATGCCAAAGCCATATGTCTTCCTGTCTCTGAGGGTTATGCGTTTTGTGATATTTAATGGTTGTTGAAAGTTTTTTAAAGAAAAATGATATATTTTCCTTTCTTTTTTTCGTCAATTATTAGCAACACATCTTGTTCAATATCAGCAACGGGAGTGTCCATCTAATGTACCTCAATGAATTCTGATGTCAGCAAATAAATCCTGTCTTGTTTCAGTAATGGCTGGCAACCACCTTGCAGGCACCTCTGGTTCTCCTCGGGAAGATGAGGAAACTGACTGCCCAGTGCCCAGTTTGTGGACATCTGCTTCTTTGGAGAACATCATTTTGAACCTGACCAAAAAGTATTGCACACTGGACAGCTCAGACCAGCGTCACAGCGCTTTCTCCTTGGAAGATTTACAACACTCCAGCAATGTTCATGGACTCACGTTTGGAAACCAGGAAGATCTGCGCTTTGCTGATCATGTAGATCATACCTACAGAGATTACAACCTCAGTGCATATCCCAGCACAGATGGAATGGACAAACTGGCTCAGAGTCGCAAAAAGTTAAATCCGTTTTTTAGTGGACTGTCGTTTGATTTGGGTACGCAAGAGTCATGTCCAAGTCTTCCTACTATGTCAGTTGTTGATGGACCTCGTGTTCTGTCAAGAACCACACACTCGGCCGGAGAAGTTCTTCCTAATGGAATTGGTTTGTTAAAAAAGGCAGGTCGCAGGTTTGACTCAACTCCCAATTTGAAAGTGTCAAGGTATGAGACAGCTTTTGGCCCAGACAACAAAACAGTGACCCGTGTTTATTTTCAAAAAGGTGTCTCCACGGAGAGATTGGATTCTCAGAGGGAGGAAGAAAGTTCTGCCAGTCAAAAGGAGACATGTTTTGATGCATACCTTGACGATGAAGCGCTGTGTCCGGAGGTGAATCTGGAGCGAGGTCAGTCTTGTGAGTGTATTGCAGCAATCAGCGCAGGCTCGCCTCTGGACAGAAATACACTTCCCAGGCCTTCTCTGGGCCGAAGTAAATCTTTTGCAGATGTGAAGGTCACACCGTCTCGAGGTGACAGAAGTGTTGATGCACAGGCTTTTATTCCTCCTAATGGTCTTCCTTTGAAATCGAGAAAGGACCGGAATCATAGCTCCAGCTTCTATGACAGTAGTGACAGCATTTGTCCAAATTTCCGAGAAAGCTCAAACCAGGTGAGCATGGGCTATGGAGAAGCTGCTAGTTTTGAACAGGATCAAATGAATGTTGCATCACACTGTGGCAAATCTCGGTCTTTCCTTGAAGCGAGTGAGCGCAGTGGCCCTTCTCTAACCACTAGGTCCAACAGTTTTGCGGTGGGCGACCATACCCGTGGTCAGAAGTATAGTGAGAATACTCGAAGAAGTGGAAACAGGTTTTCTGCTTACATTGATCAGCCAGCATCTTCTCCCTTGAGAGACATCCTAGAAGATGTTCCTAGCTTTGGACCCGGCTACCGGCCGGTACTAGACCGCTCCAAGGAAGGTAGACCCAGCAGTATGTCTGATGCTTATCCGCTGCATCAAGCCCCAACTAGACGACACCTTCCTCGTTCTCAATTCTCAGCAGAAGACCAAGTGACGTCGACTCCTCTTGATCATTATCACCTAAGCAACCCTGCTAAGCGTCATGGATTTACCAGTTCCCTTGAGAATATCACACCTTTTTTCGGTACAAGTCAAAGACATGGCAATCTGACTTCTGGAAAAGCTTACCTGAACTGTAAGTATTCTCTTTCCTGCTACTTTTCCTTATTAAAAGTGTGTATACTCTTTGTTTTGAATTTTGTACAGATTACTAAATTCTATATCACACTTAGCCAGTCTTTTGTGGGTGGTTTGTTACAAAGTTGACTGAAGTGTAGAAATTTAAGGTTCAACTCTGAATTATGCCAGCCTGTTCTTATTTTCCTCTTGGGTCGATTTACTTTGCGTGTTGTGTCTTCATGAATCAAATATTGTCCTGTAAGAATTGAAAATGCTATTGACATTTTCTTCAGTCTAATATATAACAACAAATTTGGTAAAAGCGAAGTGTCCGGTTCCTTGATCTATTTTGTGTTATAAGAATTATTAGTGCATCCCAATGGAGTAGTAAGATATTAAAATTTAAGGGAAGGGTGGTGAGTTTAAGAAATATTGGCTCTGTGAGATACGAAATTGCATCCCCAGAAAAAAAAGCTCTCAACCCTATTTTCTTCCTTGCACCCATCTCCAAAAATAGTTACTTGGCTGCAGGAAGAAGAAATGAATGTAATGAATTTAAAAGGTAAGCAATGTGTGTTAAACATGCTGGGGGGGAGGAGGGCGGGGGGAAAGATGGTATACTGAAGTCATGTTTACCTTCAGGGGGATACGTGACAATAATTAAGCTTTTTTCATGTCTTTTTTTACCAAATATTTCTTTCTGTCGCCATTCAGTTCCCCAAACTCGCCTTTCGGAGAGTCGGGCAAAGAATTCCCTGCAGCTGATCACCTTACTTCTGCCTCCTGCTAACAGAAGAAAACTGCACATGCTCTTCAAGATGATGGTGAAAATGACAGCGAATCCCAACCTTTGCCTTGATCCAACTCAGACCACACGCAGTCTGGTAAAAAAAAAATGCAATGGTCATGTCTTTTTTCACTTTGAGAATTTTTTTTTTTGTATTGCTGATAGTGTTTATTATTAAATTGTTGCTTGGTCCAAGCAAACAACTGTGCTTCCAATCTTCTGTATTTTTACAGAAGTTTGTACTTTCTAACAGTTCCATACTTGCTCCACCATCATTATCAACTCTATCCGTAAAAAAAGTGAAATAGCGTTGTGGCTACTGAAATTCCATATATCAAAGGATCTGTACTCGCTTTCGTATCGTCTTTAATAAGTGCCGGGTATTTACCGTAATTCTTTCGGCAAAAGTTAATAGAAACCTGCGAGATTGCTATTATCTTGTATTGTGTTTGTTGCGGGCTGGTCGGCAATACATTTTTACGTGCAGATTTGTCCAAATCTGGCTCGTCCTGATAGCTAGCTTTTTGTGCAAATTTCCTCCTTTCTTTCATTCACTCATTCTTTCTGTCTACCTTCGGGTTGTTGTTGCCGCGGCTGGAAAAGTAAATTGATTTGCAATTTAGAAAGAAAATCACTATCAGAAAGTAAACTTTTTTGTAAATTTGTCTAGATCCCGAAAAAGTGTCAGTTCAATGATTCTTTGGGAGCATGATAAGGGCCGCAGTGAAAGAAATCTATGCTTAGTACTAAAATCAAGAATGGCTCTAATTTGAAGTGGCGTTCCGATTTTGTGACATTCGACATTCAAACGTGAAAATAGAGGAAGATTAGAGATACGCTGGGTAAGTAACTAAACTTTATCGCAAAGGTACGTGTCTATTCCTTATTCCCAGGGTTGACTTCTGTCAGTGTTGCGATGACAAATTTATTCAACTATTGTAGCGATGGCAAAGGGAACCTGCTTGTTAACATTGCCTTGCCAGCTAGGGAAAGATATGAAGATGAAGAAATCAAACAATACAAAAACTTTGTGAAAAAATAGGTGTTATGGGTTGTTGGCAATCTCTTGAGACATGCTCCCAAATGACATAAGGCCTACTTTCAACCCTTTAAAAGCACTAAATTTCAATTTTCCTTACTTTTCAACTTCAGCTGTTGGAAGCACTGAAATAAATATATGGCCTTTTAACTGTTGGACAAACCTTTTGCAGATCTGCCACTCATTCCAATTTAACCCTTTTGTTGTCAGGTGGTATGCGTTCCTACTGTCAGAACTGATTTTCAGCTGTGCTCGTTTCTCAGGACAGCAGCCTAATGTCTCTGTGTTGATGGATGCAGGGTCTAGATCTAGATTTAGCGCACTCATATCATATTTTGGACACCGGGTCTTTGATTGTCTCTTTTCTCACTTTTCTTATTCCCCATTTCCGCCTATCTTACTCGTAATTTCAAATAACCCTCAAATCTATGTCAAAAAGAGAATTTATTTTTAAAAGTCAAGTCATTTTGATGTTTATGTTACGGTTTTACGAGACCACACGGCCGCCCACAAGCCTAGCTAGTAGATCAGTGTTTATCGATCGCTTGCAAGCCTAGCAATAAAGTAATACTAGCAAATTTGGTACTGATGTGCCCGTCTTTCATTCCCAAATACAAATTTACACAGTGCTTGTGGCTAAAACTCAGTACAAAAGAATTAAAGCCAAGTTACATCATATAGGCAACCAGGTGCTGCAAATTTTGCCAACGTACTTGGTGCAGCCTAGGGCTACAAATTACGCAATTTCATGACGTACTGCTACGAAGGGGTTAATAGAGATCCCAATTTTCTTTCCCCAAATCTCAAGCATCCCGATTTCGATGGCGTGCATCCCTATTTTTTTGTCCCATCTGTTTCACTGGATTGTTCTAAAAACTTACTCTGTCTTCTTCTCTGTTGCAATCAAACAGGGTTGGTGATTTTTTTGATTTTTTAAATAAAAATTTAAAAAATCGATTTTTTAAATTTAAATCTGATTTTTTTGGGGGAGGGGGGGGGGGGGATTTTTAAAAAAATGTTGACACAGTTTGGGATTTTTGGTTGCTAAAAGTATGTTCTTTTAGTGCAAAATGCATTGTCTTTATTTTAACTAATGATTAATTTAAGCAACCGCAAAAGAAAGCCTTAATCTGCTATATATATATATATATATCAGTGAATTATGGCTACAGAGAAAAAGTGAAGAAAATGTCAGTCTAAAAGGAAGGGGGGGGGGGTAATTATGCATAGATAAACTTGCATTTTATTACAGTGTGTGTGCGCGCTTGTGTTTGTCTAAAAAGAAAAAGAAAATGTTGATTTCAATATTGAAAAAAAAAGTAAATTGAATACTGTATTATTTTACAGTGACAGGGGGAAAGCAGACTTTTAAGCATGATTATATTAGTCTACTAAACCTTATATCTGTTTTATAAAACCAAGGAAAGGAATTCTGAATATTTAAAGATGTAAAAACAGAATACATTTTTTAATTTTAAAAGTGATTTAAATCGCTGAGTTTTATTTTTAAAATCAAGTTGATTTAAATTTTAAAAAATCAACTGATTTAAAACAACCCAACCCTGATTTCAATTATGAAAAAAAAGTCAATTGAATACTGTATTATTTTACAGTGACAGGGGGGAAAGCAGACTTTTAAGCATGATTTTATTAGTCTACTATACCTTATATCTGTTTAATAAAACCAAGGAAAGGAATTCTGAATGTTCAAATATAATACATTTTTTTAAAAGTGATTTAAATCACTGATTTTTATTTTAAAAATCAAGTTGATTTAAATATTAAAAAATCAACTGATTTAAATCAACCCAGCTCTGATTTCAATAATGGAAAAAAAAGTAAATTGAATACTGTATTATTTTACAGTGACAGGGGGAAAGCAGACTTTTAAACATGATTATATTAGTCTACTTAACCTTATATCTGTTTTATGAAACCAAGGAAAGGAATGTTGAAATGTGTAAAAACTGAATAAAAATAAAAAAATTTTAAAGTGATTTTTATTTTAAAAATCAAGTTGATTTAAATTTAAAAAATCAACTGATTTAAATCAACCCAACCCTGCTATCAAAGCAATCTTCTTCTAAGTTCTGGTTAATCGGGCCCGTCATCAAGACCCACCAGTAAAACTTTCAATTTTGAGTTCACATCATGTGTGTCTGGGACTGTCCGTTGCTGAGGTCAACTTAAGTTCATGCACACAGGTTGATGAAGTGTCTTTGAGGACTTAATGGGGGCAGGGGGTTAGATCTTGGACAGTAGTCTCTGCCTAAACGCACAGTGCTCGGAAGGGCTCCTTAGCGTGTGTTTATATGGAGCGTGCGTTTACATGAACCTTTGCAAAGGGAGGAAGGGACAGAGTCATCTCATTTCCTTGATATTTTAGTGAACTCCGTTTGGGGTGGGGATCACTTTGGGCCGATAATGCGACTACACATGACTTTTGTGAAGGATTCCCCGACTGCGGTTAAGAAAACAAAGGCGTTGAATGGGGGGCAGAAAGACAGACTCAATGTAATGAATATGCACTATAAAATGTCGGGAACAGATGGCCTAAGAGGGAAATGTTGGTGATAGTCATAGAGACGATGGCCCAGCCACGTGGCTTTATAAGCGACCATCCCCGACCGTGAATTCATGGACAACACCAGAATCATAGATCTCTACATTCCGAGAAACATTTCTCTTGTGATTCGTTGAACAAGTACGTTATAAGTTCTTAGAGCGCAGTTGATTAGGCTTACTAGACTAATCTTTAACCCTATAGAGGCCTATCTAGTGTTTTACAGCATTCACGCGTGTTGCACATCATAGACCTAGGTCGAACTAAACATTACATGTGGTTATCCAAATACCAGTCAGAAACCTTCTCAAAGACTCATTTCCAGTGACCAATCAAAAAACATTTCACTGACCAGTCGTAGATCTTTGGGTGGGAAAACGCTGTCCATCACTCTCTTTGTTCGGCGGGGGGGGGGCAGTCTTACCTAATATCCGGTTTTCTAGGCTTATCTTGCAAGCTGTGCAGATTGTAGTGAAAATTTCCCTTTGTCAAGCTTTACCTGTCGGTGTGTTTCGCGGATCGGAGCATGTGTTTAGAGAGAGTGACTGTGCGTTTGTACGTCTAAATTATATAGTAAAAAACCTGTAAGATGATAGGAGTGTCCTTTTGTATGGCGTGCGTTTAGCCGGAGACTACTGTATTTGACGTGATACTTCAAGATTTAAAAGAATAATGATAAAACACACTCACAATAAATAGCACACTAAAACGGACATACACACAGAGCATTATATTTATACATGTACAATGTGTGTATATATCTTTTTTTATGGCCACCCCTGGAAAATTTTAAGTCAGCTTGGCAGTAACCCTTGTGATTTGTCATTGATCCTGATTTTTTTCATCACATCCCGATTATTTTCCCCTGACATCTTGGTTTTTAAGTTTCTTAGAGTGGTTGGTGTGTTCTTGTATTTTTTGCAACAAATTAAGAGACTGTACTTCAATGTTTCGTGATGTAAATACTCATTTAATTTTTCATCCACTTTTTTGTTCTCCCCTTCCACTTTTCCTGTTCTTCTTTCCTCTCTAGCTTGTCAAAGTGTCAGGTACCGGTACAATTGTCTATAAACACTGGCAACATCCATGTGAAACAACATCTCATGTTCTCTGTTAATGTCTTTGGTTACATGATAGAAGGAGACAACTCCTTATCTATCTTTCTCAGCAGCTAAAGTTAATTGTGCCTGCAGCTTAGCCAGAGACGAGTTGCCTTTTTCTGTATTTTGCAGGGATTCTTTTTTATAATCTCTATTGCAAATTAATTTTAAGAGTTGTTAAAAAGGGGTCCGGAACTCATTACTGAGAACAGTGGACAATTTAACTGTTTGGAATAACAAAGTTTTATTTTTTTAAACTATTGCTAGACTTTATGAATTAAGATAAAACATATTACAAGCTGATGGGGCTTTTATTGTTTGTTATTTTACCATGAAATGTGATTTTTTTAAAAGGATACTTGTCTGTTTTTCCAACGATATACTTATTCCATTTATTCAGATGTTACACAAAAATGCTCTCACACTTGTAATGAATAATAAATGTACACTTCAGGTGCTGGGCACATTCTATCGAGCGATTGTGCGGCCACAGGATGAGAACAATTTCGACGAGTTTGTTGTGCTTCAGCTGGTGTCCTTCATGCTGGACTTCTTTGACGAAATCTTTGCTCCACCATCGGAGATGAAGTCTCAAGTCAGTGACAGACTCAAAGTGTTGCAAAGGCCACAGGTGAGAAACTCACTCACTCACACTGTTCTTAGCAGTCTCTTTTCATGAGGTTTGCCGCATTCTAAAATGTTGACAATTAATAGTTGACTGTATTATATAATTTCTCTGCAAGAGATTTCTCAAATATGATTAAAAGCAGTGGTGTAGAGTGGTTCTGGAAAGGAATGGTGCCGAGTCACCCATCTGCAACGTTTAAGTACTCTCCTAATCAAGGCACTATGGGCCTTTGATTTCCTTTTGCATCTGGACTAGTGTGGGTCAATACAAATGAAATAGCAAAACCAGAATATGCGTAAGGTTTTGATGTGATCATGTGAATTGTGGTTCATTGAATATCCCGGCTGTAGTAAGAACTGATACTGATGCAGAGATGCCAACCAGTACGATTTTACGTATTTTAGTACGATTTTTTGCAGAAAATACGCGAATACGACTTTTCATGAAAAAATACGCATCCTGGAATGCAAAAAATACGAGATTCAGCTTGGGCGAGTAAACCTAATTATCTCAAATCCCTTCTTTTGTCAAAATAGTCTCAGTATCGGAGAACTGGAATATTTGAAAACCTAGTCCGATGTGGTCAGTAAGTTCATTTTTGCCGGTCGCAATCGGGATATATTCGTTCTGCTCTTCCCCGTCCGGAGAGTACGTTTCACTTTCACGCGAATAGGCAGCTACGGCGGCAGGTGGAAGCGTATGTGACACCGAGGCTCGATCGGGAAAATCAAGATCTACTTTCACTTTCGCTACCACCGAAAAGTTTGCCAGCAGTTGTCTGATAACGCAACATTTGTGACATGCAGGTTGTGCAGTATGAACGCAATGTCGCCGTGCAAATAAAATGTAATAAATACTCGGACTCATCGCTTTGGCTGTCACTTGAAAAGAAAAGAAAAGAAAATACAAGCGTCGTCAGATTTTTAGATTGTCTGGGTCGCCATCGTGACCGGTCACTGAACCTGTGCGCATTCGCATCTTAAATAAATGTGGTATCGTGTGAGTAAATACCGTCTTTGGTGGGAGTAACGACATTGCGAAGTATAGGACTACGGAATAGGGGAGGAGATTATGGATTTTTTTTAGAGGGGGGGGGGTTAAGATACTATCGGGAGCTACACCAGAGGACAAAAACTTGGAAGCACATTTCAGAATTTTAATTAGAGCTTTCTGCAAAGCGCGCGTTGGTGCAGGGTTTGGCAGTCAGAAGTATCATAGCTGCCACTTTTCCGGAAAATACCGCAAACTCCGCTTCATCTAGCTTTTCCCACTACTTTCCTCCTTTGTCCACTGGACCGCTCTTGGTCGCAAATTGCGATACTTTTTTCTTTTTACATGCAGAAAACACCAAACCAGGATCGAGACGAAAATGGGGCTTGCTCATGTCCGCCCGTAGCTTTCTACTTCCGTTCTTCTGTGCCTAGCACTAGTTTCACATTGTTTATTGTGGAGCAACAGTGTTGATGAAGCATTGGGACGATGGCGCACCGGGTTGTCATTGGAAACGGTGTAAATTCGGGAGAAATTGATGCAGAATGCAAGAATAAAAGGAGCTGGAATGAGAAAGAAGCAGACGGTGTGCGACTTGAAAAGTTCATTAGAAAATTGAACAAGCCGCTTGCTGCACTTTGCGTTTGGTGCAATAAAGAAATGGCTCACTACAGCGGCAAAGGTGTTGCCTCCTTGATCCAATACTGCTCTACATCGATGCACAAGTTTAAAGTGAAAGAAATCTTTTCATGAGACTGTAGCTGGCAACAAACACTGGATTTTTAGTCACCAAACTGTGTCAAATGCTTGTTAGTCAACTTATCGTATGGGTTTCTTTTGTTTTTGTATTTCAAATACATTTTAATTGAGTTGCCTATGGTTAACAAATATGACACTTTTCCCTTCGAAAAATATTGGCTAGATGTTCCAATATATTGCCTCTGGATCTCACTGGTTTTGCTCCGGCCTTCGGAGAGCGTGCGTACGCCTTCGCCTGAATTTCCTCCTTTTTTGAAATTCCTGAGTGGGAGCTATGAAGTATGCGAGATAGGCCAGTTGGGTTTCGATTCCGCATTGTTGCAGTAACTTCCCTTGGACGTGTTGCTTTAAAAAATGGACTTTTTTTTTTTTACCGCCAGAAACAAACTAAAATCTACTAACGCTCAGTTAGGATGGTGACAACATCTCACTCAACGAGGTCAGAACATTTGAATTGATGGACCCATTCGTCAATGAAGAGTAAGATTTAGATCTTTTTGCTGATGATAGCGATGATGAACCATCATACAGAGTGGATGAAGAGCATAGGAGAGGTACAGACACAAGTGAAGATGAAAATTGTGATCTAGATCTTGAATCAGGTGTTCCCCATGCTCAGACCAATGGTGGCGATAGTGATCCGACGCTTCCAGGTCACAGTTAAGGCCCATAACACACAAATGTCCAAGAAAGCACAACATAGAAAAATTTCCAGACAATCTGGTTGAGGCTCACTTGCAGGTCTAATAGATTTAGACCCAAATGATAGGAATACAGCTGACATAGACCCACGTAGGCCTACACACCAAACTTCAAATAGTGGCACCCCTCCCCCAGTGGCTATGCCCTGTCCCGCAACCACACTCCCTGATGTTGATGCTCAGGATAGGTGCACTGATGACTTGACTGACTCTCCAGTCATAAAATTTGTCAGATATCTTTTCATAGTGACTTTTCAACATGTCAGTTGATACATTTATTTTTTGCAGACAAAGATATAAAGGCATAAAGGTAGATCTTTCCTACCAGAAGATCAGAGGTGTGGCTGAAAGACAGCAGTGACAAGGAGCCAAGGAGTAACAGTAGAAAGGCTGCAGAAAAAGTCAGGAGCCCAGTGGAGGGGGCTGAGGGGGTGGGGACAGAAAGGAGACGGAAGCAGACGGCAGAACATTGTGATCTGAAAGGAGACAATTTTAGAGAAGAAAAATTTTCATTGGCTACTTGGATTCGAACCAGGGACCTTTGAATGAGAGGCCAACACCTTAACCTCAAGGCCACGAGAGCCCCCTGAGGATGTTGCAATGTCATTGTTGGTGGAGAATTTCAATACTGTACACATAACAAGCTCACAGTGAAGTTTTGAAAATGGTCCTGAAAGCCTGGCATTCCTCAGTTACTGAGCCGAGAAATGCCTGGCAGTGAGTGAGTTAAACCTATACTATTTCAGAGAGGTCATGACATATGGTTTGCTCCCTTTCAGCGATTCTATAATATATGGTTGCTTTTAAGGACAAGAGAGCTAACCCAGATTTCGGAGGTTTCGAGAAATCTTGACCTACACCAAGAGTGGGCATTGTCCTACCTATAGGAGAAATTTGGTTTCATTTGTGTGTATATTTGTTTGGTTATAGAGAAAACTCTCTGCGTCTTTTAAAGAAACTGAACAAGGAGCAAAAACTTTAACTTCGATTTTCTCTAAACATCTTAAAGCAACCATATATATCACAATCTGCCCTCTGGCAAAACACGGCCACTTATCATCATGCAGATTTATCTCTTACTGCAGTTTGCAGTTCAACTGTAACTTTTTGTCAATTATTTTGAATCTAGCTTTGATTTAAAGTGATTTTCTTGGTTCGGTATTAAGTGTGAGACGGCGTGATGAAATCAGGCGCTCGTCAAAATACAAAAATCAGAGAGACAGGCATTTTTCCGCCAGTGTGAAAATTTTTATTGAATTTTTTTCTTTTGGCTCAACCTCTTTTAGGTTCATACAAAAACACGTTTCCATGTGAATTTTACTGAAAAAACGTTGATTAAAGGCACAAAATATGTCATTTTTCAGATTTCAAAGACTCTTTAGCTGTTGGAGTTTCCAAACTTTGGCAGCCATTTACTTGCTAATTTCACCACTGAAACCAGGCGGCCTCACTTACTTCAAATGCAGATATCTTAAGTTCTACTCAAGATAAATAGATATTTATTTTATTGAAAGCAAGGCAAATAAATTAGCTTTCAGTTGATACCAATAACTCCACATGCCCCAAAATTAACAAAGCGCCTGATTTTACCGCGTTGTGACACAAATGTTCTTTTAAAATCTTACTGCTATTTAACTTTTACATTTAAACTTGCTATATGTGCGCATATTTTTTCATAGAACTGAAATCTGTTAAATGGTACTCCTCTTAGTCAATGAAAAATATATGATTTTAAAACAAGATACAATTATACAGTTCGACCCACATTATAGTAATATAATGTACAAGAACACTGTTCTATAACGCCCCCCCCCCCCCCCCCCAAATGCACGAGGATGGAGATGGAGTTGAACTAATCTTTAAAATACAGGGTTTTTAAATTAAATTTTTTTTCTGATTGTGTCAAGAAGTTTTTGCAAATCGCCCTTAAAAATGTACATTCTTACAATTTTTGTTCTGTTATGTGTGCGTGATACAGAAAATTTTAGATTTTGAATTTCATCAATGTTGCTGTTTTCCGTTAAGGAGGCTTTTTTTTCTTCTCTCCTTTGGCCCAGTGCCAAAAATAGGTATGTACAGCAGAGTTGCTTAGAGTGATAGAACCTCTGTCTGTTGTGGGTAGAATAAATCATCTCAGAGTCTGTGTCTGGTGCAGTAGAAAAATGTTGCTTTCCTACAGAATCTTTCGTTTCTTTTCTTTCCTTTCCTTTTTTTTAAGATTTGCTGTTCTCTTTCAGTGAGCAATGGTGTTACGCATTCTTTACCACCATTCTGTTAATGAGAGTCTGTTTAGCTGGAACTCCTACTTGCATCTCTGTAAAGGTTCGTATTTTGTTATCATGTCTGTAACCCAGGTGGTGTACTCTCCGAGGCCTGTGACAAGGTTTTGCCAACAGACCAGCCTGGCTGATTTCGAAAATCAAAGCAAATCCTCATCGCTCTCCGCACTCGAGGGGCTTTTGGAGAGGATTGTGGCAGATAAAAGCATGAACTTGAAAGAGAAGAGGAGGAGGCTGAAGCAAGTGAGTATTTTCCATAGACTTGTATTATGATATCCAAGAGTTCACTCTGACATAGCTTAGCTTTGGTTCACCATGGAGTACCCTATTTGGCTCTACTTGGAACCAATTGAAGAGCGGGGAGGGAATGGTTGCGCGAGCACTCGACTGTAATGAGCCTAGTGTTTTGTCCTTCAATTACGTGCCCACGGTGTGCGCCTGTATCAACTGTATGGCGAAGTTTTTACAGAGAGCATAGAGTGGCTATTATGGTGCCTGGTCTAAGATATTATAATTCAAGTCTTAAGGTATTTTCAAACCAAAGAAAAGATGAAAATTGTATGATGGTGACGTAACAAAACGTTTTTTTTAAAAACAACTACCTTTTTTAACTCACTCACAACCGCAACTGTTGCAAGTAAATTTGCTTTGACGCTGTTATACCACACCTGCAACCCTCGCGGTTCGCACTTTGGAATTTTTTTCTCGCGTAAAAACCGCATCGTTTGTGATACTAGTTCATCTTTTTCGTAGCTCATTCAATTATCTTTCATTAGAAAGAAATGAAACCCAAATCGAACGAGCGCAAGTTGAGTTATTGATTTTTTCGACAAACCACCCTAAGAACTGAATTTACTATTACGTTTCCCACAATGGTGGATCGCTTCTTTGACCGTTTTCGAACATTTGATGACGAACGTTACTCAGAAACCGATGAATTGGTGGAAGATTGTTAAGACAAACTGGGTGGGGAAATTTGCAAAGAAGAGTGAGGTTTAGTGGGGCCTCCAAAACCTAGGTCTAGGGTTGCAGTAGTGGGGAAGGACGTGAGTAAGAAATGCAAAGGGGATGCACTTTTTGACCAATTTTTTAACAACTTGTGGGGGGAAAAAAAGTAACATTAAAACAGAACTGTAATTTCATCAGGGCAATCTTTATTATGTTCAAAAACAATGTTCCAAACTTCAAGTCTCTATGTTAATTAGCAGAGTGGTTTTTAAAAAATTTCCCTTAAATTAAATGGCTGGTACACAGGGAATAGCGACCCCGAAAATGGCTGACTGGTAGTGAGTGAGTTAAGTAGGGGCAAATGTAGTAAAAGAACTTTTATATGTGGAACAAAATGATGTCATCTGCACCAGAGGCAGCACCTTTGTTATTTGGCATAATAATATTGTATATATATATAAATTTTGCTTTTCGAAGTTGAAGGGAGTGAACCATTTGTAATCATTAACGTCTGTGCCTTTCCTCATGAATTATGGATATTTTAGAGTATTTCTTTATTTTTTAAAATCTTTTTGTTTTCATACATATACAGACTTCAAAACTACTGCACTTCAGCGAGATATCTGTCAAATGTATTGGAGATACACAAAGCATTCTTGAAAACGATTGGTGCGTCCACATACGGATGTAGCTGATGGATTTTCTGTGGACCAGAGTTTTCTTATTTTGTTTGTTTTATTTGCTGTATTAGGCATCCTCTTTTTCTATTAACGTTTATTCTGTACACTGTGACCACTTTTAAATTTCTTTGCTTTGTTATCAGTTTGCGTGTGGTAGGCTGGTGCTCTGGTGTGATATGCTCCTTCTTTCCTATAAAAAATCTATCGTCCTGATCTTTCCTCTCTTTTTGTGGGTGGTTGGCGGGTGCTCTGGTGTGGTTTGCTTCTTCTTTCCTATGAAACATCTATCGTCCTTATCTCCCCTTCTTCTTTTTACGTTTGTTACTCTCTTGTAACACCTCTAATCTTCTGGCGCTCATATGACCTTATGCAGTTGCGAGCGCCGTAAAACCTCTACTATAACTAACCTCTTTTTTTTTTAATGTGTGTTTGTTACCGTCTTCGGATGACCTTATTGTGTTGCAAGTGCTTACTAACACCAAACTGAACTTATCAGTTTCAGAGGACATACCCCACCATCTACACCAGACGCTTCCCCACTCCAGAGTTGGAAGCCCAAGTACTCCCACCAAGGCCAAAATTCAAACAACCTCTGCTCGTGAAACCTTTGACCAAGCTGAAAGGCTTACGACTTTGAGCTCATCAGAAGCTTACATGTTAATAATGTTATTATAGCATGGCTGATATGGGTTCCTCTATGTAAATTTCTGTTAACTTTGGGAGGTCATTGTCGATAATTTTACAGGGCATTATCATATACATTTGTGGTTTTGTGTTAGCACATTACACCCTTAAGGTCTGGACAGGAAGTCTACCCGTAGATCCTAAGCAAAGGGAAGGAACCCCCACCTCCCATGAATACACGCATTTCAAAAACACATTTTAAAAATACTAAACAAATCTATACAAATTTCAATAATCCTGAAAAAATAAAATTTAGAAAGAGAAATGAATGTGGTTTCAGAAAAATACACCGTAACTTTACGTATACACAAACTGTTGGAAATGTTCTAACAATAGTTCAATCTGGTTGTCCGACCAATCACTCTCGCGGCCAGGCCCTAGATCTAAATTCTACACCTGATTAATCTGAATTGACCCAAACTCTTGCTACAACGTTTTGAAAACCTCGGCCTCAAGAGTCTCAATAAGGTGAGACTTCGTTTCAAAAGACGCCTGGTGGGAGCTAGCTATTCCGGGCGAGTTAGGGTGTAACGTGTTAAGCAACTTTTTAGTCGTATTTGGGAAAAATTGATTCAGGCAAACTGAAAAAAATGGGATTGGAATTAAGATATATGATTTTGTTTACTTAGAGATTTTTTTTTATTATTGTGCTTAATGTTATCTCAGGTGGGCTCCATTGTGTGTTTTAGATTTCATATTTTTATCTATCACTTTGAAGATATAAGCATTGAACCGTGTGCAATAAATGCAACCATAATTTCTTTGATAATGTTCTTTAAAAAGTGATATTTTCTTAACTCGTAATATCGTTGCCCTTTATATCATCATAAAACCAATTTTATTGTTCTTGTATCTTTTTTTTAAATTATTATTTGTGAGACAGCATAGTGAAATCCGATGTTCGTCAAGATAAAATACAGAAATCGGAGAAACGCATTTTCCTGACAGTTGGACATTTTTATCGATTTTAAAAAAACAACTCAACCTCTTTTGTGTCCATATAAAAACACATTTCTGTCTGAATTTAACTGAAAAACATTGCTTAAAGGCACAAAATATGTCATTTTTCTGTTTTCAAGGACGCTTTAGCTATTTAAGTTATCAAACTTTGGCAGCCATTTTCTCGCTAATTTCATCACCAAAACTAGGCGACCACACTTCCTTCAATCGGAAATATCTTGAATTCTATTCAAGATAGATGGATATTTAATTCATTGGAAGCAAGGCAAATAAATAAGCTTTTAGATGATACCAATAGTTCCTCAAGCCCAAAAATTGACGAGCGCCTGATTCCAACGCGCCGTGACAATTTTATTTTTTTTCCTCCAAATAATGGTTTACCTTTCTGTGTATGCCAAGCAATATGTTGAATTTTACATCAAAATTAGCATTAGTATTGTTGTCTGTTCATCTCTTTGTCCACACCATGTCTACAGTATGAAGCTCAGTGCCTTAAAATGACAGTGCCTTGCACAAAATGAAGTACACTTTTTGTCTGGAAGAAAAATATGAATTGTTTGGTTGAAAGTTATAATTTATAGTAGGATAGTCTTATTTTTAGTTGTTTTTTTTCTGTTGTTAGATGGAAAGTTCTTGGATGGTTAATTAAAGTGAATTCATAAAAGCCATGAGTAGTCATATTTGCCTGTTGTTGTTCTTTTTTAAACTCCAAATCATATTTTTCCTTTGTTTGGTCAACAAAGGAAAGAAAATATGTACATATGACAAGGGGCCATCTTTCCTTTGTACAGAATTTTGTTGAGGCATGGTTTTCCTCTGCTTCCATTTCCTTTGACACTGAAAGATATTAAATGCATCCAAGTAGCTTCCATTACAGGTACAGTTATTTCTTATGTTTTAGAGTATGGCTGATGGCAATGGAAATACTTTGCAAGGTCACTGCCAGGCCCGGGGAATTTGAAAACAATCGTTGAGACTCGGGACTGGCCTGGGAATTTAAGGAAATCTGTAAATTGCCTAGGAAAATTCATAAAGTTCTTGAATGTTTGAAAACCAAATCCAGTAAAGTTCATTTTTGCTGGTCGCACTTGTGATATTCGTTCGGCTTTTCCCTATCTGAGAGTAAATTTCACACGAACAGGTGACTATTGCGGCGGTGGATATGTGACACCGAGGCTGGGTCTGGAAAAATCTAGATCTGCTTTCGTTACCACCTAGAAATTTGCCGGTCATGATCTGATATAACGCAACATTGTGACATTTTGGGAATTATGAACTTTACTATTTATACTAACAAATGCATCAAGTACTAGAGCAGGCAAATGTAAAGTGAACACGCACACACGCACGCACGCACACACACACACACACACACACACACACACACACACACACTTCCCCTAAGTGTCTTCCCACTTCACAACGATCACATCATACTATTCCAGTCCATGTGAGACATAACTGCAACTCCACAATGATTCCTGAAATCAGTGGGTCAAGCTT